AACTCAATAAACCTAGTATTTGCCAGGCCAGATCCTGTTGAAGTTTAATTAGGAGATCTGAGGAATAGAGTTAACACAGCAGGCCTGAGACTGCTATCCTTAGAAAGATCTGTTTGCACAATTGGCCCTGGGTTGACATTCTAGAACTTTGATTTCAAGGGATTCCCACAATTCCCAGAACTGATAACTGTGGCTCACTTAAGCCTAGACTATTTGGATAAACAATGTGGCTCGTGCTGAACACCTGTTTTTCTTCTGGGAGTCTGGCACTTTGGTACATGCTAGGTGGAGGATGCCTACAAGGCCAGCCCCCAATAAAAACTGAGTACTTGCCTTCCCTGGCGGTCCAGTGGTTGGGTATCTTCCTGCTAATGCAGAGAACATGGGTTGGATCCCTAGTCTAGAAGGATTGCCCATGATGAGGGGCAACTGAGCCCACATGCCCCAACTACTGAGCCAGCACTCTAGAGCCCACAAGCTGCATTTACTGAAGCTCTGCACCTAGAGCCCGTGCTCTGCAACAAGAAAGCCACCACAATGAGAAGCCCACGCACTGAACTTGAGAGTAGCCCCTGCTCACTGCAACTAGAGAAAGCCTGTGCACCGCAACCAAGACCCAGAGCCACCAAAAATAAATAAAAACCAATCACTGAATCTAATGGGGTTCCTCAGAGGACACTTTACATGTATTGTCACAGTCTACTGCTAGAGAATTAAGTACATCCTGTGTGATTCAACTGAGAGAGGCCTCTTGGAAGCTTGTGCCTGGTTTCCCTCAGTCTTTTCCCCATGGACTTTTTCCTTTTGCTGATTTATTCTGTAAACTTTTGCTGTAATAAATCATAGTGTGAGTATGATTATATGCTGAGTTCTGAGAGTCCTGATAGCAAATCATTGAACTGGTAGGTGGTCTTGGGAACTTCAGACAGGGCATAAGCCTAGATTTCACAGAAACAACCATAATCCTAGCAATCTTTTAGGAATATACAGCTTAAACTAGCACTATCCAACAGAAATATAGTATCAGTTGCATGTGTAATTCAAATTTTTCTATCAGTCACATTTTACTTAGTAAAAAGAAACAAGTGAAATTAATTTCAATATAACTTCTTTAACCCAAATATAAAAATGTTAAATGTTACCATGTAATTATATAAAAATTTATTGAGATATTTTAATTTTTTTATTTTCTAACTAAGTCTTCAAAAACCAGTGTGTACTTTATTCTCACAGCACATCTTAGTTTGCACTAATCACATTCCAAGTGCTCACTAGCCACACCCAGCTAGTGGCTGACAAGTGGAAAAGCACAGAGTTAGAGATCAGCATCTTGTCAGAATCTTGGTTTTGCCACCTACCAACTGGATGACCTTAAGCAAAGTCATTTAACTAATATATTAGTTTCTTCATCTCTAAAATGGGGATAATAATGTTAGCTACCTCATTAAGTTACAGGAATTCCATAAGTATGGGGTTGCAAAGAGTCAGACACGACTGAGTGACTGAACTGAGTGCCTAGTAAGTATAGGATGTTGGGTGAATGTTGACTGTTACTCTTATCATCCAAAAGGTTGGCCTTTGAGATTAATTTGCTCAATTCTTCATTCCATAGATAAAGAAACTGAGGCCCAGAGTTTGGAAGGCACCAATTTCAAAAGCAGAGGCTCCAGCTACCTCTTTTCCTGTCCCCTGGCTAGCTCTAAGATTGCATCTGCCAATTATTTAGGAATCCAGCAGCTTCGGGGCCCTACCTGGATTCTGCCATCCCTTCTTGATTATAAAAAAGGGCCACCATTGGAGTTGGCATGAAGTGGTGGGGCCTGGGCCTCCCTTCTGCTACCCGCTGCCCCCCATCTGGGTTGGGCTGGCTGACCTCCTCACTGAGTCCAACTCTTACTCAGCACTGATAGGGTTGGTTTCCATTGTTTTCACTTTTCACTGCCCTTCTTGTTTATTAACTCATGTTCTATCTCCTTCTAAGACACAGAGCATCAGCACTTTTTTTAAAACCTCCTTTTAATCATCTACAGTCTCTGTTCATCCACCAAGCAGGTAGGTAGTGAACGTGCCTAAAAAAGAGAATGTGAAGAGGGACTTGGTGCTCACTTATCTGAGATGCAGGAGAGCAGCTTCTCAGGCTGGAAACAAAACTGGCTTATGATTCCTCTGCAACATCTGTCTCCACCCTTCCTTTCCTAAAACCCAAATGCAAATCATCTACTCTCCTCTGACAAGCTCACTCAGCATAACTCATGGTGTCGCAAATCTTCCCGGCAGCTGGAATCAGACCAGTTTTGTGGGCTCAGAGCTAGACCAAAATTCTACTTATTCAATTTGCCAAATAATGCTTATTTAGCATTCATTTATTTAATATATACTAAGCATCTAATGTGTATTAAGCCCTCAGCAAAGTGGTGAGAATGAGACCTTCGTGGACCTTATGATTTAGTGTGAAAAGGGGACAAGTAAGAAATAATGGTAAGGTAAATGGTAAACAAAGGTTAATGTATAAAATGTCAAATGCTCTAGGAATTATAATAAATCAAGGGGACCCGAACAAAACTCTCTCCTTAAGAAATGACATCTTCACTGAGACCTGAAAATGGTAGGAGAGAACCAGTAAAAGAGAGCATAGAAAGTTCCAGGTAGAGGCAACAACATAGCTGGAGATGAGAGAGAATGGCATGTGGGAACAACTGGAGAACAGTCCAGTACAGCTGGATAGAGAGAGCAAGAGGAGTGTGGCAAAAGACAAGCAAGTGGCCAGATTTGGAGGATATTGTCCTAAGGGCTAAGGAATTTGGACTTTAACCTGAAGGCCAGGGGAAACAGCCTGGTGCAGAATAACATCTTTCAAAACAGGATTCCAGGGAACAAATCAACCAAATGTGCTAAAAAGGCTGATGGTAAAAAAGCTAGCAAGCATGAATTCATCCTTGTCTTCATGATCTTTGTACTGAGGTTCAAAACTCCTTTGAAAGTAGTATACAACATGAAGGCCCAATCCAATGGCAGGCTATGCTCCCTAACCTCCCACCCACTGTTCATGAGATCAGTACTCCCAAGTCTGGTTCAGCCCAGGTTTTCCTTAGACCCTTGGAGCTGCAGAGCCCACTGTGGAGAGATTGCCAAGGACCCCTGTTTAACAGATGGACCAGAGAAGGAAAGTCACTTGTCTGTGGCCCCACTGGAAGCCTAAGGCTCTGACTCCTTGTTTTCCCCAAAGAAATTGAACACAAGGGCTAGAATTAGAGTAACGCAATTCAGGCACTCAGGGTGCGCCATTTAAGCAGGCACTCACTCACGGGTACCATCTCTGCACTAGCCTCACCCTAGTCCTGGCTCTGTTGGACTCACTTTGGCAGGGATTGTAACTTCCAGAAAACTCTCTGGCATCTTTCATGGTTTTTGTTTGTTTGTTTTAAGATTTTTTGTTTTGATGTGGACCACTTTTAAAATCTTTATTGAACTTGTTACAGTACTACTTCTGTTGTTTATGCTCTGGTTTTTTGGCTGTGAGGCATGTGGGATCTTAGCTCCCTGACCAGGGATCAAACTCATGCCTTCTGCATGAGAAGGTGAAGTCTTAACCACTGGACCACCAGGGAAGTTCCCTCTTTCATCGTGTTGACAAGGTGCTAGGCACATATTGTGAGGAATCCTAGATGCCTACTGATGCAAATGAATAATGGATTTCTGACAAACTATGTATACAAATGTTTGTATCTTTGGGTAAATACGACCTTCAAGATACAACAGAACAAAGTCCAGAGGGCCCAAGAATGTACTCTAGGCCTGGATTCTGGTCCCCTCTCAGCCACCAATTTGCTGTGGGTGAATTGCTCCCCATCTCTAGGCTTCAGCAAAATGAGGCCATTGAATAAATAATATTTGTTTACTACATACACTGTGTTAGACACTGTTCAAAAGCCTTTGTACTTTAACTCATTTAAAGTTAAAGGCCTTCAAGACTCCCTTCACTTCAACAGGCTGTGGTTTGAGGTAAGGAAGGCTTCACAGAGAACGTGGGATCAAGACAGCCCTTCCAAATTCCCACAGGGACCATACCATCTTAAATCATGATAAAGCCATGGTATCTCAAGGCACTTGTCCATCAGAAGACACAGAATCACCTGCCTCAGAGTCAGCTCTAGAACATGGCTGAAGGTGGAGTCTCAGCCTTTGCCCCTGGAGATTGTAATGCAGTGATTCTGAAGGAGGACCTAGGTATCTGTATGAAAAGCTTCTCAGAGTACTCATTTAGTCTGATTTGGGAAGCACTGACTCCAACACATACCGCTGTCTATGGATAGAATCATGCCTCGAACTGCCTGACCTGGTCATCAGCATCTCAAAGCAGAGAAACAAATTCATTGTGGGTTTTTTTTTTTTTTGGCATGTGGGATCTTAGTTCCCTGACCAGGGATTGAACCTGTGCCCCCTGCACTGGACATATAGAGTTTAAACCACCGAAAAAGAAACTGTAGCCACTCAGTCATGTTCGACTCTTTGCGACTCCATGCACTGTGGCCCACCAGGCTCCTCTGTCCATGGAACTTTCCAGGCAAGAATACTGGAGTGGGTTGCCATTTCCTTCGCCAGGGGATCTTCCCAACCCAGGATCAAACCTGGGTCTCTGGCATTGCAGGCAGATTCTTTACCATCTGAGCCACTAGGGAAGCCTTACACCACTGAACTATCAGGGAAACCCCCAAATCTGCTTTTTAAAGCCCCTCCTCTGGCTGGGCTGAGGACACAGTGCTTGCCTCTTCCAGCACTTTGGAGTTGAAAGAAGAGGGGGCTGCCTCACGGGTTCACAAGCACCTGGCTCCCATCTCTCAGCCCAGACTTGCTTATGTCACTGTCGCCCAGCGGGGGAAGCGGAGGGGAAGTCATGCCCGCCCTTGAAATGCCAGGCGCCTTGCGATTGGCTACAAAGACTCCGGCCCCGCCGCGGATTGGTCATCGCTGAGGGCTTGAAAGGTGGATGAGAGCAGATGACACCTCAGACGGACCGTGGCCCGGGATCAGACAGCGTCTGCGGCGAGCCGAGACGCGCCCCCAGCCCATCATGGCCCGGCTCTTCCGGGCATCCTGCCTTCTCTCCCTGCTCCTGGCCGGCTTCGTTCCGCCGAGCCAGGGACAGGAGAAGTCGAAGGTGAGTGAGCCTCGGGGTGGGGGGCCAGGGGAAAGAACACAGCCCGCAGGTGTCACCATCTTTCGGTGAGGGCTTCCCTCTAGAAGGGTGACACCTAGGTGCGAGAGACGCCCTTAACTCCCGTTGCCTCCCTCTTTGGCGCACTCAGACTGTCGTCAGACTCTTCGCAGTTTCATCTGCTGGAGACCTGGGTGCCCCGGGTGGGCGGAATGAATGAGGGAGGAAGGTTTGTCTCTTCAGAGTTCACACTTTCTTCCCCACCGCTACCTCCGGGCCGCCTTGCTACACATCCAAACCACCGTCTGTTTCTGAGACCCTTCCCTTCCAGTGGACCATGAAGGGGGTGGGGGCGCCCAGAAAATGGCCTGGAGACTCGGAGTCTGGGTGGCTGCAGAGTTCCCAGGGAGAACGGCAGGCAATGTGTGGTGCCCAAATAGCCCAAGCCCGGGTAGGATTCTGGGATACTGGTAAAAGAGGCTGACAGAACGAGCTCTAGGCTCGCAGCAAGAATGCCCAGGACACTGACTAGACCTCTCATCCTTTGTGGACCTCAGTTTCTCCATCCGCTGGAGGTGAGAGCACAGGGCACAAAGTGGCTGATGACTTCAGAGGGGGTGCTTGGAGAAGCTGCAAAATCCACACACCGTTCTCTGAAGGGTTTCCTGTTTGGGGCAGTCTCAGTACCCACCAGCCAGAGCCCTTATTGGCCTGCCAGCTCCATAGGAGAGGCAGAATTCTCTTGAGCCTGAGTCTACCCTCAGTAGAGTGTGTGGTCCTTAGCTAGAGTGGGGGTGCTGAGGTCAGGAGCAGGGGTGACCCAGCATACTTAGACCTCTCCTCTTCCCCAGTGAGCTCTAGGCTCGCAGCAAGAATGCCCAGGACACTGACTAGACCTCTCATCCTTTGTGGACCTCAGTTTCTCCATCCGCTGGAGGTGAGAGCACAGGGCACAAAGTGGCTGATGACTTCAGAGGGGGTGCTTGGAGAAGCTGCAAAATCCACACACCGTTCTCTGAAGGGTTTCCTGTTTGGGGCAGTCTCAGTACCCACCAGCCAGAGCCCTTATTGGCCTGCCAGCTCCATAGGAGAGGCAGAATTCTCTTGAGCCTGAGTCTACCCTCAGTAGAGTGTGTGGTCCTTAGCTAGAGTGGGGGTGCTGAGGTCAGGAGCAGGGGTGACCCAGCATGCTTAGACCTCTCCTCTTCCCCAGGGTGGGGAGTCAAGAGCCAGGCATAGACCCAAAGAGAGAGATTTCTGTTTCCAGCCTCCCAATACATACACACACCAACACACACACCAACACACACACCAACACACACACACACACACACACACACACACACACACCCCTCACCTGCATAAAATCAAGACGCTTTGAGCTTCTGTGTTTCTCAAATCTTCCATTCTAAGATCTTATGACTCCACAATTCTATTTCCCTAATCCTATCTATTGTTCAGGAAGCCTATTAAAAAATGCAAGGTTACTTCTGCTTGTTTCTATCCCCGGTCCTGTCCTCAGCCTAAATTCTAATCGGTCTGCCTCTCCTGAGAGTCAGCCTAGAGACTGGATGGTTATGGGGCCCCTTCCTCCTAGCCTCTGGCTTTGTATCCAGTCTTGTTCATAATCTCCAATTCAGAAGGTATTTTCCAGGGCAGGGATGGGTCTGAGTTTTGATATTAGGGTGTGGGACTGAAGTGAGGGCAGACCATGGGTAGGGCAGTATCATGGAGTCAGTCCTATATCCTCAGTTTGGGGAGAAGCAGAGATGGGAAGATGGGGCCCTGTTTCAAGAAGGTGGAGCTAAGAACATGGATCCCATGAATAGCTCATCATAGCCGTGTGTTCTCTGTAGAACTCTGGGGAGGAATAGATGGATTCAGAGAAAACAGGATGGGTATGGTCTAGAAAAGCCTTAGGGTGGGGTGTGATCATATCAGATGCAACCAGCTAGGACTTGCTAGCCCAATGACAGTCTGGTCCTGCCCCATCTTTCCTCCTAGGTCTTGAGAGGGTTGAAATGTCATAGCGTCTGGTTCTAGGACTCAATCACTACTTATCTTACCCCCAGCTCCAGGGCCAAGGCAGGGGCCAGGGGCAAGTGGAGAAAAGGATGGACAAAGGGCGACAGCCCCAGAGGGATATTTGCCTCGACCCAATTCAAAGGGAGGGGGCTGGGGAACAAAGCCTTTCCTCGCTGTCCCCTCTCCAGTCCATCTTAAGGCTGTCCAGGCTCCCTGTCCTTCCCTTACAAAAGGACTTCACAGAGGCTAGAGAGAATAACAGCTGCTGACGTGCGTGGGCTCCTAGTAACCGCTGGTTTCTAGGTGACTAAATCAGGCAGATAAAATGAAGGAACCACCAGCTGACAGTCAGAGCTGAACAGCCCTCTAGACAGCCCTGAATCTGACCCCATCTCATAATCAAGGAGCCAGAGCCCAGAGAAGGGACAGGACTAGTCACAAGTAGTCTCATGGGAGGCCCGGCCAGGCCTAGAACTCAGGTCTCCTGCCCCCAGTCCAGCTCTCCCCTCATACCTTCGCACTGTTGGGGGTGGTAAGAGGAGTGAGGAGAGAGAAACAGGACCAGCAGTGCAAGCCAGCCGGGGTCCTGGCAGGGACTCTCCTCCCGCTCTCAAGCCATCTGAACTCTCCTGTCTTATGCAACTGTGGGAGAATTGAGGTAACCTCCCCACCCCCCACCCCCATCTCCTCTGACCTCCCAGTTAAGGTGCAGTGTTCTGGGACTCCAGGGACCCACTAGAGGAGGGGCGGGGCCTATAAGGAGGTGGGGCGCATGCTCAGTACTGAGAGCAGGCTGTGGCTCTTTCCCCTACCATGGTCACTCTCTGACCCCTCTCAGTCTGCACCCACAGCATCAGCATTGCAGCCCCAGTAAAAAGCAGGAGGCTTTGTCACAAGTCCCTTTTCCTGGACATACTCTGCCCAGTGCATCAGCTTCCTCATACCAGCTGGGGAACATCCAAGTCTTCTTCACAGTAACACAGCAACGTCAGGGCCCTTTACCCTACCCCTTGATGGGAGAATGGGGGCTGGGTTTCTTTCCAAGAGGCTTTCAAGATGGTTTTAATCTACTAGCAAATTCCCACAGCCATTTTGGGAGACAGGTGGTTTTTCTCTCGCCCATCAACAGATGAAAACTCAGATTGAAAGTGACTTGCTCAGGGACACACAGCCAGCAAGACTCAAATCTAATGAGAGGAGATTCCCCTTGCCCCACCCCACCCTGAAAATGGGCTTAGAAGCTGATCCTCCCACTGTTTTCAAGCTTCCCTTATTTAGACAACCTCTTGGTTTCTTTTTTTTTTTTTCCCTCCCTATTTCACAGTTTGTTTTTGGGCCAGGGAGGAGTGGAGAGGCAGGCAGGAGGCCTGGCCTTCTGGCTGCTAGACCCCTGTGACCAGCTAGGGTGTGTTTGTTGTGTCCTGGCTGTTTGCATTTGGAGCTGGAGCTGACCCCAGCTGGGGCCCAAGAGGCCCAGGGGCTGGAGGAATGTCCAGCTTAGGTCTGAGGCCTGCCTCTGGCACCCACCAGAAGTCACGGGGCATGGAATATTAGACTCACGTGAAGCAGGGAATTCGTACCCGAGCCAAGAAGAATGCTTGCAGCAGTCAGGGAATGGCCATGTGGAAGGAGTCCAGCTCCGCCAGCTCAGCAGGCCTACGGAGTCTCCAAGACAGAGTGGCTTTCTTACGCCCGCCCAGGGCTACACCCTACCAGCCCAGACGGCTCTCTTCACTCAGTTGGGCCCAGGTGCACCTCACCTTAACAGCAAGTCTTCCAGGACTGGCCAGAACAGAGTGCGTGAATTTGCTTCCCTTAACTCCAACCACCTGTCTCTGGTCTATAATGCTAGCTTGCCTTCAGTTTGTTTATTGTCTTCCTGCCTCTCCTCAGATGTCCAGGCCAGGACTGCCAGCCCACCTGCTAATTGTGGTAGTGATGCAATGATGCTCTCTCAAGAGTAAACCCAGATTTTTGTAGTCTGCATCAAAAAATGGTAGGGATGAGATGAGGCTAGAGTTGGGGGGTGGGGTGGGTGTAAATTCAGCATCCCACTTGCTTGCCGTAATCCATTCCCTCTTCTCCCACTGAGAGCGATGCTGTCAAGCCATCGTGGTTCAGAACAGCTGGTCCGGTTCAAGGTTCTCACTTTATAAATGAGGAAACTGAGGCCCAGAGAAGAGAAAGGGCAAGTCCAAGACCACACAGGGAGTTAGAGGCAGAGCTGGTTCCCCAACTCATAGCCCATTGTACACTGATTCTACTAGTCTGGAGGCAGACTGTAGAGCAGCAACTGGGCAAAGAGGAAGGCCTTAAGGTCATTGTCACACTGCTCAACACAGGGAACATTGGATCTATGCCAGGCACTGGGCTTTATCCTGACCATCCCATTTAATCCTCCCAGCAGGCCTGGCCCCATTCCTGGCCCCCCTCCTACTTCCCTATTTTTGAACAACAGCCTCAGCTTTCCAGTTCTCCAGATTGGAAACGTCTGAATCACCATTTTCCACACTGTTGTTTCCTCATTTCTGTTCAGCTCTTCCTTCACGACGCTCTACTTCTGGCTCTCATCACCACTTGCCTGCGTTATTCTAACAGCTTCCCAGTCTCCACCATCCCATCCAATAACACCGGCACGGGGGTAGTCTCCCTCACCGCCTGCCTGGTGGCTGTCTAAACTGACAAGTGATGAAGAAATAATGACCATAGTTATTTCTCCAAGTTTCCATAGCACTCTCCAGCTTATTAAATGCTTTTAACATTATTATCTTATACAATGAATTAGGAGACTTCAGTTCTAGTCCAGTTTGAATTCTTGGGCAAGTCAAGACCACGTGGGCAAATGTGTTCTGCCACTGCCTGGTATCTTGAAAATGGTGGTGTCTGAGTTCCCTTCAGGGTCTAACCACTCCCTGGTGCTGGTCTTGTCTTGCAGACGGACTGCCATGCTGGTGTGGGCGGCACCATCTATGAGTACGGGGCCCTCACCATCGATGGGGAGGAATACATCCCCTTTAAGCAGTACGCTGGCAAATACATCCTCTTCGTCAACGTGGCCAGCTACTGAGGCCTGACGGGCCAGTACGTTGGTAAGAGCCACCCCTTCTTCCCTTGCTGTGTTTGGGGCTGTTTCTGCCATTTGGGCACATTCCAATCACGGGAGCTTTCCTGGTGCAAGGAGAATGGGGGTGATGGTCATCATGAGATTTCAAACCCTGTACCTGAATCCTACTGTGTTCCGTGGTTCTGTGAAAATAATTATATAACCTGAGGTCTGATCCCCTACAAACATGTTCTAGAAGATTCTCAGTTATTCTTCATCCCTGGGTATCTCAATTGCCCTAAAAGAAAAAGGATGGAGGAGGTTAGGTTTGTGCCTGGAACTTCCTTTCATTGGAGTACGAAACAGTAGCTTCCTCTTGCTGAGAAATTCTCCCCTGTCCTCAGCCCATCTGCCTCAGTGCTTCTCTTGGCCCCTGGCCTGAGTCCCCAGAGTTTGTGTGTTAGTGACAGGACCAGGTTTCATGATCCCTGGGATTCCCTACCTCTTTCTCCTTAGCTGGGTCAGAGTCAAAAGCCAGGGGACAGGCAAGCCAAAGGCATCTGACAGCACCCACCAGAAGATGCTTTGGGGGTGTGGGAAGGAGGCAAGGGCAATCTAACATAGAATGTTCTGCCTGACAGTCATGGGCAAACTCCTGGAAGTGGAATGACGGTGAACTGGACGGCCCAGTGGGTAGTGAGTGCTCTGTCTAGAATGCTTCCATGACGAAGCCCTTGGAATAGAGCAGAGTGCATTTGGACAAGAGGTGGGCTGAGCGGAGATGCTGCACAAGAGGCCAGGAGGCACTGAGAGGAGTGAGAGCTGGGCCAGGATCTCCCCTGGGCCCCTAAATACCCAAAGTATAGGAGGGGTGTAAGGGCTCCATCCCACCCCAGGGAAGTCATCTGCCTTCTGCCCAGGAATGGATGATTCTCACTCCAGAAACTCAGTTCTGGGAGTCCTAAAGAAGCCCACAGCCTACAGGCCCAGGTGGTGGGTTTAGGCAGTGGGTGACTGATTACTAATTTGAGGAAGCACATTGCTCTCTTCTCCCCCAAACCTCCAACCCATCCAGGGTGGACTCCGTAGGACAGGGCTTGAATGCCAGCAATGCCACACTCAATGGATTATCTTGGGCAAGTCCCTTCCCATCAGGCCTCAGCGATTTCAGCTATACAATGGGGTGGGTAGGTGGATGGTACATGGGAGGTGGGACTCCTCACCAGGCTATCCCCGTCTCTGCTCTCTCCCTGTTCCAGAACTGAATGCACTGCAGGAAGAGCTTGAACCATTTGGTCTGGTCATTCTGGGCTTCCCCTGCAACCAATTTGGAAAACAAGAACCAGGAGAGAACTCGGAGATCCTAGCCTCCCTCAAGTGAGTGCTGACTCAGTGTCCTGAGAAAGCTCCTCTAGCAAGTCCCTCCCACCCTGTGCCCCAGCCCAGGCTCCAGCCATCTTTTATGCTGGCCTCTACTCACGATGGATATTTATCATCCACCAAGAACTACTCTCTCCTTCCAGGAACTCTGTTTAGTGGAACAAGCGGAAGGGGTACCAGGAGAGAGAAAGGGTCAGGGATGATGGCTGTCAGCCACGTTGGGGGAAGGGGAGGACAGGTTGAGGGCAGGGGTTAATGAGAAGTTACCAAATTGGAGGAAGACTGCAGACCCACATTATACCTGTGCCCATTTAATAGTCACAGGCTCCCACTGCCCATTATAGCATAAAATCTAGATTCCCAACCCCTCTTCCCCAGTTCTGTCCCCTCTTATGTCTGAGCCCGTGTCCCTGGGGCCCACACAAAAACATTCCTCTTAGGTATGTTCGACCAGGTGGGGGCTTCATCCCCAATTTCCAATTGTTTGAGAAAGGCGATGTGAATGGGGAGAAAGAGCAGAAGTTCTACACATTCCTGAAGGTGAGTACACAGCCAAGCCACATTCCTGAAGGTCAAGCTCCGCAGAGCCTCTCTCCCTGGGTGATGCTGGCTCCAGACAGGGCTGCAGCTGCTCCTGGCCCCAGGAACCTGTGCCGCCCTCCTTTGTTCCTGGGCTCTTGGGGAGTTTCCTGGCATCTGATTATTATTCTAACTAGAGGGCTTTGTAGGCCCTAGGGGCTCATCAACTCATTCTACAGATAGGCCCCAGAAGGGACAAGCTTAGGGTCTCACAATCTGCTAGAACCAAAGCTGGTGCTGGGATTCAGTTTTCTAACTCCCAACCTGGTGCTCTTTTCTCAATGCCAGGCTATTCTCCTTCCCCTGAGAAGTCCTGGGAAGGAGGAGGGATAAGCGGGTGGGAAGGAGGAGGGATAAGCGGGTGGGAAGGAGGAGGGATAAGCGGGTGGGAAGGGCCCCAAGCAGAGTTGACACTTCTCTTGTCTCTGCTCCAGAACTCCTGTCCTCCTACTTCGGAGCTCCTAGGTTCACCTGGCCGCCTTTTCTGGGAACCCATGAAGGTCCATGACATCCGGTGGAACTTTGAGAAATTCCTGGTGGGGCCAGACGGCATCCCCATCATGCGCTGGTACCACCGCACTACGGTCAACTCTGTCAAGATGGACATCCTGACCTACATGCGGCGGCGGGCAGTCATGGAAGTCAAGGGGAAGTAACTGAGGCCCATCCCACCCCCCACCCCCCATGTCCACCACACGGGCTAGGGAGGACTCTGTTCAGGAAGGAACCCATTTCTCCAACTACGCCATACTCTCATGCCAGACCTTTTACTGTTACACAAGGCCCCAGCCTGAGATGAACATTTGTGTCTGTACTGTCTGCACATGGGCGTTTGCACACATGCCTACAGGCGTGTGTACACACGAGTACAGGGCCACATGTGTCAACCTGCACAAGTGTATAGGTGGCAACAGCTGTGTGCCGTGGAGAATGCCAGAGAGGAACTTCCCTTTCCTTCCAGTTCTCTGTTCCAGTGATAACCATTCACTTTCAGCTGAGTCCAAACTGAAACGCCAGCTCTAGATTCAATTGTTCTGCTTTAACCAGGACCTCACCCTACCAGGCTGGCATCTCTCACTGCCTCCAAACACCACCCAGAAGTGCCCAGAAGTTTCTGGGTCCTCCGCACTGCCTGACTCCCTCCTTCCTGAGGGCCCTCCCCCGCCCCCCCACCCCCTCAGCGTTTCCCTGAGAGTCGCCAAGGCAGCCGTGAGAGCAGGGGGCCACGCTCTCTGTGTCAGGGGGCGGCATCGCCATGAAGGAGGGGCCCGAAGCCCTTGTGGGCGGACCTCCCTTGAGCCTGTCTGAGGGGCCAGCCTTTAGTGCATTCAGGCTGAGGCCCCCGGCCAGGGATGCCACCCCACTCCCTCAGGGAGTGTGTCCTCTCCCCTCACCCTGACCTGCTGGCATCAGACTCGCCCCTGTCTGCCTAGTAAAGACCTTTCTGCAGCAGCTGAGCCGACTGTTGTGCTTCTTCCATGGGGCTGTCCCAGCGTGGGGGCAGGAAAGCTGGAGGTGGGAGGAAGGAATGAACGGAGGGCTTTGGGTCCTTGCTTTTTGGTTTCTACCTAGGCCCACTCTGCTTCCTCACTCAGCATTTGAAGTCTATAAAACCAACTCACATCTACTGTCACCCCACAGTTCTCTCTAAGGCAGCTAGCACTGAGATGAGGTGTTCCATTTGACAGATGAGGAAACTAAGGCTCACAGAAGGGCCAGGCCTTGCCCAGTGTCTCCTGACAAGTGAGGGGCAGGACTAGAATGTAAACTCAGGTCACCTGACCCCCAGCCCCTGGATGCTCCACCCTCATAGAAGCTCTGAGCAGGATCCCAGGGGATACCTGCCAAGAGTAACGGTGGTGCTCTTGTGGGGGTGGGAGGGGGTGCGTCTGGGAGGAAGAGGGCAGAGGGAAGGGAAGCCAGGAAAGCAGCACTCTGTTTGACAAGGAGAAGCACATTAGCCAGGGCATAAAAGAAATCCGGTCACAAAATGCTGATCTCCAACTAGGATTTATGTCCAAGATTCGTGCAAACAGCTGTCCAGGGATCAAGAACCACCCCAGTCCAGGCCTCCACACCATGAGCCTCCAGCTGAGGGCCTGGCGGCTCCAGGCTGGAGCCCCTTGGCCAACGGGGGTCTCGACTGCACCACCTGGAGATTGACATCTGCCAGCAGTGTCCGCAGAAGACGGCAGGTCCAGGCCAGATGACACCTCTCTCCACTTGGGGGCACAGTAGTGGGCTTTTCCCAGTCACTCCAAAGGAGAGGCCCAGATGGACACCTTCTGGATGGAGCCTCTCTAGTCTGCAGACCGTCCAGGTTGGGGCCAGGGCTCAAGGCGGCCATCCATCTCAGCCTCCCAAGTGGCTGCAGCTCTGGCCACACAGAGCCTGTGGCCTCTAGCTTTCCAGTAATCTGAAGTCGGCTGGCTCTGTGAGACGAAGGTGGAGCCAAGGGACTGGTTTCACTGAGGTCCTTCACGGTCATTTTTGGTGGACTCTAAATAAACAAATTTAGGACTTAAAGATGAGGTGGTACAGTGCGTTTCAAAGTCCTGTGGAAACAGATACAGTAAGAATGGGGGAAAAAACCAGGGTTGTTGGGTGTTAATGAGTGCCAGACCCTGGTCAAAGCACCTTAGGTACATTTGTCATTCAATCCTTGCCGAGAACTAGGAAGCAGGCAGATTATTACTCCTTTATGGGGGAAGGAAGTGGGGCACAGGGTAGTTTTTAAAAACTTGCTCAAGGTCCCAGGTCTAGAAAGTGTTGGCACCCAGTGAGTCTGGTTCCAGATCCCAGAAATGGAGTAGTTCTGGGTGAAGGGACAGTCCTGCCCATTTGACCACCCTCTTCCCTCATCAAAGTGGGCTCCTATGGCTCCACAGCACCCCCAGGGCTCCAGGGGGAAACATGAGAAGTGACTGACCAGCCCAACACCTCCTCCTCCCAGCCACGAGAGCCTCCAAACCACACCCTCTCCGAGTTGCCCTGCAGCCTCTGCCCACGCTATTGCAGAGGGGCCCTTGACCACCAGGCATGGCAGGCTCCATTTCTGCACAGTTGCGACCTTTAGAAAACTCTTTCTGCTGAGATGGACTTGGCCTCCCCATGGCTCCCACTAGTTGCGATTCTGTTCCCAGAAGCCCCCACAGGCAAGGCCCCGTAAGAGCCTCGCAGAAAGGGAGGGAGAGACTAAGGGCCCAGAGTCCTTTTGCAACCAGCAAACAGGCCATTTAAAAATGTCCAAGGCCTGCAGGCTATCCTTAGGATAAAGACCAGCCCTCCTGCTGGGGCCTACAAGGCCCTTGAGGTGGGACCTACCAAACTCCCTCACCTCACCTTGCCTGCCTCCCTTCTCCATCTTGTTCCTGGCTCCAGCCAAGCCAGACTTCTGACGATCCTCAAGTCAGCCACAGTTCTTCACTCCCTCCCACCAAGGTCTCTGCACTTGTCTTGGCCTCCCCGGCATCTTACACAGAGCATAGCATTTAGAACATTAAACTATAATCAATGGAAGGAATGGTTTCAACTCCTTCATGGTACAGTCACCACCCCTTTCTTCTCAACACTATTTGAGAAACCTGGGCCTCTCCTCCACTGAGATCAGAAGGTAGCAAGACTGCTCCCAAATTGGGACGATGCTGGCAGATTAAAAAGTTATCTTTTTATAAACCAAGGCCCATTAGCAGGGGCCACACTCACCTGGTTCCGTAGGCCTGGCCGTAGGTAAGTCCATCACTTGGGAGCTCTGATTACGTACCCCTCCACAGGGCAGCCGCCAGGTGTATTCTGGCTGCAACAAAACTGGTGCTTAGTAATCAATAACCATAGTAGCAGCTACTGTGCCAGAACAGTACTAAGTTCATATTAATCAACTATAACTGAATCCTTACAACAACCCAGGTTACCACCCCCATTTTACAGGTTGGCAAACTGAGGCTCAAAGGGGTGGAGTAACTTGTCAAAGGTCATCCAGCTTGGCAAGTGGTCAAGCTTTGATTTGAATCCAAGGCTCACAGTCCCACAGTACACTCCAGAGTTTAAAGATGCATGTAAGGAATGGTCATGGGGGAGAAAAAGGGGGAGAAGCGGATGGGATGGGGGGCAGCTGGCACTGACCAGGTTGGGGGGGGGATGCCTGAGGGGCTGTGGCAGGGGCACCGAAGAGAATGAGAAAGGGGTCAGAAACTCTGGAGACAGAATGATAAGAAGAAAAAAAGCAAAAATTTTTTTTACAAAAAGGAAGAAAAGAGAAAAGGTAAAGAAACTGAGAAGGAAAAGAGAAGAAAAAGCAAAGGGAGAGAATGCATGGTGAAGACCTTATACCTGGTAACACGTGGAGGTCATGAAAAAGGTCAAACTCCTGGCCTGGCTGGCAGGAGAGAGCCCTCCTGCCGGCCCCGCTCCCTTACCCAGCCTTTTCTGTCCCATACCAGGGCCTTTGAGCAACCCTGAGCTGGAAGGTCCTGCCCGGGGGATGGCAGGCTGCACACCAGTCTGTTCCCAAGGGGCCAAGGATGCAGCTTCTGACCCTCTCACTTGCCCTTGCTCTTGGCATGTGTCTGGCTGGCCTGTGTGTGTGTCCTGGAGTGAGGGAGGGGGCACAGACTCACCAGACGGAAGAGGCGTGAGTTGGGAAGTGGGGGCGGGTGCTCCATGGCCGTGGGGGGTGGGGGGTAGCGGATCTGGGACCAGTCCTCAAAGCCGGGGTGCGGCCCAATGGGGGGCATGGGCGGGTAGGCGTAGGGGCAGGCCCCGCAGAGGTGCTCTGGGTGGGGCTCCAGGTGGTAGCGGTCTGCTGAGGTCTGCAAGAAAGGTGGCATCTGGCTCTGGTCTGTGACAGGCTGCATGGGCCACCCCAGTGCCATTCATCCCATCTCCCATTCTCCACTTAGGGTCTCGGTTCTCTGAAGACTGGCACGTGGCCATGGAAGGTTGCACATGGGCCCAGAATATCAACTATGGTGATAGCTGGTATGTCCTGAGCACTTGTTCTTTACCATGTACTGTTCTAAATGTTCTAACTGCATTTTTTGTTTTGTTTGTAAAGCACTTAGCACCACAGCTTAAATAAAGGGTCAGAGGACCTGACATGTAGTCGAGCTCATAATTCATTCTGTCATTTGCTGGGTGTGTGTGTGCTCAGTCACTTAATTGTGTCCGACTTTTTGTGACCCCATGGACTGTGGCTCTCCAGGCTCCTGTGTCCACGGAATTTTCCAGGCAAGAATACTGGATCAGGTTGCCAATTCTTTCTCCAGGGGATCTTCCAGACCCAGGGATCAAACCCGAGTCTCTTGTGTCTCCTGCACTGGCAGATGGATTCTTCCCCACTGTGCCACCTGGTGCCTCATTAGTTAGCTGGACACCTGAGCAACCAAGGCCTCCCCCGTCAGACTGCGTCTCCCTGAAGGAGGTAAAATGCAGTAAGGACTGCCTCCTCCCTCAAGCCTCCTCACCTTTGCTTTCCTCTTCTGCTGTCTCAGGGCATCTTTCGCCTTTTCCTCATCTTTGAAGGCTTTTAGCTGAGAGAAAGAGGGAGGGAGAGAAGTCTGTCAGCAGAGGCGCTTCCTGGCCAGGCCTGGATCCAGGCCTAAGCACCGCCAGGGTGGACTGGGAAAGGGCCCTGGGGGGCAGAGCACGGCCCAGGCTGGGGGCTGCGGGTGAGGCCTGCTCACCACGGGCCATCTGAACACAGGTCAGGACGGCTGCATGAGCCGCACTGCTGCTGTGCTTCGGCATTCACGCCTTTTAGCTTCAGTGTGGGAAAGAGTGGATGGCTTAGAGCTAATTCCTACTTTTGCTCTTTAAAGGCGTCAAAACTGATTGTGGAAAATCAGGGTTACAAGTGGAAAAGGGAAAGGACTTTCTGAGGGCCATAGAAATGTGTCAGCAGAGCCGGAAGGGGAATTGGTGAGCCTCCTGCCAACCAGTGTCGCCAGGGCCCTCCAACCCATGCCCCCTCCCCATGGGCACAGCCAGCTGCCCCCTCCTGGGTCCCGCTCTTCTCACCTGGGCGTGGGACAGGGTGACCTGGGCTTGCAGTTTCTCCACCTGCTTCTTTAGCTCTTCCTTCTCCTCATTCATGCGCTCCCGGTCACTACGCTCCCTCTGGAAGTCCTCCTCAAAGATCTTCACCTAAAGGGGAGGTGGAGGAGAAGGGAGAAGGGGGTGAGGGAGAAGGGACAGTTCTGAATGGGGGCTCAGACCTGCTCAGACCCAGAATCCTGGGCCTCTGATAGGAGTCAGACATCAGAGGTGGTTTTACCCTGTCTTGAAAATGCCTATGGGGAGAGGAATAGGTGTACCTCTGGCCCCAACCCCAACTGCAGACAGAGTAGTTCCGACAAAACTGGTCAACAGCCATCCAAACCAGTCCCATCCTTCCATTCTGCCAAGACCCACAGAGAGGTGGAGACCAGAGAAACAGTCTGAGTGGAGGAGTGGAGTTCCGGTCTCCTGGTGCCAAGAGCAGGGGGCCTATAGAACCCTCCCAAGGCTCTGGGGTGGGGACAGGCGCCCTGCCAGGGAAGGGGCAGGCAGGGCCCTGTCTCTGCAGTTTCACATCCTCACTGCAGATCAACAAGAAGCTGACCAGGCTTGGGACTATTTAGAAGGACCCGAAGCATGGCAGCAAATAGCACAGAATCACGTGCGAGAGCCAAAGCCTTCTCAACTTTCCTCACTCCTCTGTGTCCCTCAACGAGAAGGTCTGCATTTTATGTGTTTAAGCACCTTTCTAGTATTTAATTTCCCTTAAATAAAGTGACAGAGGACTCCAGCACAAAGCCGTGATCAGGCAGAAGTATCTAGCTAGTTTAACAACACAGTTTTGCCTTTACTGTATTTATTGCTTATAGTTACTTTCTAATTATGACAAATAATAAATGGCTTTCCCATTTGCAGGAGAAATCTGAAGTTCCTTTTTAAATATATTTATTGAGTTTATTAAAACATTTGCTTTCATGACATACACACACTATACATAAACAGGTAACTAATAAGGTTCTACTATACAGCACAGGGAACTCTACTCAATACTCCATAATGACCCATGTGGGAAAAGACCTAAAAAAGAGTGGATATATGTATACGTATAACTGATTCACTTTTCTGTACAACAGAAATTAACAGAGCATAGTAAATCAAATATACTCCAATAACAGTTCATTTTTAAAACATACACTAAAAAAAATTTTGCTTTCAAAATATTAGGGAAATAATAGCAGAGCTGGGGCACAGAAATGTTTAAATCATGACAGTGGTAGAGGAATGACCTAGATAGGGATACACTGCTGGCAAGGATAAACCTATACCAGTCAGGAGGCCTGGCCGATGGCCAGACAGTGGACTGCCAATTACAGCTTGCATGACTCAAGGTCCGTCCTAGGCCCTCAGGCATGCTCCAACTCCCACTAGGCACCAGCTACCTAACCTGTTCCCCTCAAACTCACCTGCTGTTTCAGCAATTCGTTCTGCGTGAGCAGCTCCTGTTTCCTTAGCAGGCCTCCAGCTCCTTCTGGGCTCCCAAATGCTGTTGGAGAGGACGGGGAGGCCTGAATGCTCAGTGCTTCCTCCAGGGCCTGGAACCAGGAAGAGAGGAGATGGGCCCGTCAGCAGAAGCCCTGGGAAGTCAGGTCCCATTGAAAGGGTCAGGCCCCACTGAAAGACCCTGATCATGATAAGGATAATAATAATAACCACCACTATTTAATAAATGTCATCTTATAGATGAACACTATACACACATCATTTTACTGAATCCTGTCCATAGTCCTATGGAAAAATTGTGACCTTCACCCTCATTTCACAGATGTGAAAACTGAGGTTCAGACATCCAAAGGGATTTGTCCAAAGTCAGACAGCTAGTAAGTGGCAAAGCAGGTATTCAAAGCCAGTATGTGCTCTTAACCAGCAGCCTAAACTGTGGTCTTCATGTAGAAGGGAGAAATCTCCCTTTCCTTGAGGATAAGTGGCTCAATTCTTAGCACCCAGATGTAGAAAGAACACGAAGTCCTTTGGAGGAAGAAGCGCAATCTCCTGGACCTGCCCAGAGATTCTCCAGCTTCCGTAACCTGTTCCCACCAAGCTAACCCCTCCATCCCCAGGTCTTCTGTAGTTAGATTAGCCTGGATTTTAATTTTGATGTAATTAATATTTTACCTTTCCAACCCTGAAAATGGGCTGGAACATCACCAAATAACATTTTGAGACTTTTTTGTAAAAGCCCTGCTTTACTACCTTCACAGAATACCCTTCCTTGCATAAAGAGTGTGCTCACATCCTCTTGAAAGTTATTCATTAACTGGTCTTCTCCTTCCACCCTGTTAACCTGTTGCTTGAGAACTCTGGAACACCTCTCAAGACTGGCCATGCTCATCACAACCTAGGCTTTAGTGCCCTGGGCAGGGCCTCTGCTGGCCATGTGACAGCACTGCCCACAGCGCCTCCCTGGGCCCTGGGGCAACTGTGGCCAACTTGGCCTCAGGCCCCTCTTTGTCTCCTGACTCCCCCCAGCAACAAGAGGAAACTGCAGAGCCAAGAGTAAATTCAAGGGACTTTCCTGGTCCAGCAGCTGAGACTCCAAGCTCCCAATGCAGGGCGCCTGGGTTCGATCCCTAGTCAGGAAACTAGATCCCACATGCTGCAACTCAGAGTTCATACGCCACAACTAAAGATCCCACATGCTGCAACTAGGACGTGGTGCAGACAAAGAAAACTTATGTACATATATTTAAAGCGTACATCAGACTGCTCGAGGGAAGGCTATGACTGCACCTCCGACCCCATCTGTCCCATTTTTCTGATGAGCAGACTAAAGTCGAGGGACAGGGAGAGCCTTGTGTTAGTCATCCTTACAAGTTTCTGTCCCCAGCTACACCACAGAAACCCGGACAGCAGTGATCCTGCCTGGGTCATCTCTACAACCAGCAACACATATAACATTCTGCCCGGACTTAGATCCCCAAGTCCCCTAGCTTGGGATAGATCCTTCTTTTCACTGAGAACAAGCCCCAAGGCCCCACATTTGGCATCATCAATGCTTACCCAACACCAAAACCAAGCAGAAAGAGTCACTCAAGTAGGGCTGGGACCCAAGGAATACAAACTCACAATAGAGTCTACTGTAAGCCGAAAGAGCAGGCAGACAGAACAGGAGGAAAACCTGAGCCTCTGAAAAAGTTTCCTTTCAAAGCCTCTCCATCAGCTCACTCCTTTAACCCCTGCACTAGAAGGTGGGCAGGGCTAGCATGATTCCAGCCAGGGTTCAGATGGCTAAACTGAGACCCGGATAGGTTACAGGGGCTATAACTGGGACTAGAACCATCCCCCAGCCCAGCCCACTGCCCCTCACCTTGGCTCAGAGCAGAGGGGTCCCTTTACCTGGGCGCCCCTAGCCCCAGCCCCATCCCTGCCCTGGGCCGCATCTCCCTGGATCCCCCTTCTCAAGGGCAGGAACTCAGGCCAGAGCTCATCCACTCCCTTCAGTGAGTTTTTCCCGAACACATGCTTGGTGCCAGGCGCTGGGGGTATGTGCCCTGGTGAAGACAACATACCTCCCAACACTGGATGGGAGAATGGACTGTCAGTAAGTAATCACAAGAAAATGCCAGAAGGGTTTGAAAGAAGCTGCTGGTGCTTTAGCCATAGAACAGGGAAATTCAAAGGAGACTTGGGAAGGCCTTCCTGGGAAGCAGTGTTAGAGCTAAGCCGGGCACTCAGCGTGCGGGGAGCGGGGCAGAGGCAGTAGAAACCCCGGGGCTGCACCCAGGCCCTCAGCACCCTTACCCTGACCCAGGAGTCACCCCGCCTGAGCTGAGGGTTGGGGGTACTGGCCATGGGGCGGGCTCTGCAGCAGGGCTCAGGGAAGCCCTGCCCCTCCCCAGACCTTGACCACACCCACCTTGTTGAGCCGCTGGATTTCCTTTTCCTGGTACTCCCGCTGCCGGGTGAGGGGGCTCAGCTGGTCCTGCAGGTACTTGACCTTCTGGCGCAGCTCCTTGGCCTCTGCGGTCAGGTGCTCCCTGTCAGTCTGCAGGGGACACGGGTCTGGTGTGCATGGAGTCTCTGCAGGAGGCCCGGACCCCACGACTGCCTGCCTCGTCCCCGGGTGACTGCACCTCCCCCCCTCACTCTCACTCCGCAGCCCCATGATGCTCATGCACAACGCCCTGTGCAAGGCACCCGCCTGAGAGTAGTAATGTCCACATGGTCCTGTCCTCAAGGAAAGGGCGGCCCAACTAAGTGAAAGGCCCCGGGTTCCAGCACCACCTCCTCCAACAGCGAGGTGAGCCCTTGGGCATTGTCACAGCCTTCTCTGGTCTAAGCTCATCTATCTGCCATGGATAAGGGGTTCCTAACAGGAGACACAGATGGGCTTCAGGAGATCTGTGAGCCCCCACAACGAGTGCAAAATTTTGACTGCAATTTATAGAGAGAAAAGTCACAATTTCTACCAGGCTCACACAGGGCTCTTCTACGATGCACAGAAAGTGATGTCACTGAAAGTCTCCAAAGGGCCTCTCAGTTCTTACAGTCTCCAGGTCTAGTGGAAAAAAGACCCTCAGAGAGATAAACACAGCATGAGGCGGAAAGGGGTCCTCCACAGAGAAACAAAGTCCTATGAGATTAAAGAAAGAACACTCCTGCTGAAAAGAAACTGGGGAAGGCTTCAAGGTGGAAGCCCCGCTTCCATAGGTACTATGGAACAATCCAAGTTCTTTACCACAAACAGTCACAGCTGGAAAGGCCCTCAGAGAGCATCAAATCCTAGC